GCTCGTAGTCACGCTGAGCGGCGACGTGTAGCAGAACCCGAAGAGTGGTCATCTTCGGGGTCGGGGAGAAGGTCTGGAAGAAGTCAACTCCCTCTCGCTGACTGAAGCCTCGTGCAACGTAACGCGCCTTGAAGACAGGCGGAGAGCCCGACGGCCGCTTCACCCTGAAAATCCACATGCCACTGACGATGTTCGCCCCTGGTGGGGGAACCTCGTCGACGTAGGTGCCAGTGGACTTCTAGGAAGCCATCTCTGTGTCCATGGCTGACTGCCACTGAGAGGAGTAGGGACCGGCCATCGCCTCTGCGTAAGAGCGTGGGGTCGGGATGTCTGGTGCATCCGGGTCTCCCTCAGGGGCAACGAGCATGGACACGAGATGGGGCAAAGCAGCGGCAAGGCAACCAACCTCCTCCTGCCTGTCCTCAAGAACGTCCGTGCCAAGAGCACACTCACCCCCGACGGACGGAGGACAGACAGACTCAGACTCAGCAACAAGACTCGCAGCGTAGTCTAGACGACACGCAGCTTCAAAGTCGACGAGCTCAGTGACTAAGGCAGACGCAGCAGCGGACTGAAAGGAAGGGTCAGTGACAACCGTAGCGAGGAGACGTGTGACAGTAGGACTGGCAGCGCGAAGGGTGTCTGACTCCGGATCAGCAAGCGCAGGAAGAGAGGACGCAGGAGGCGACGGGAGAGCGACACGCTGCGGAGCAGTGGACTGACGAAGCGCCATCTGGTGAGTGCCTGGGACAGCAGGAGGACGCTGACGCTAGACACGACTAGCAGTGGTAGCAACACGAACAGGCGACGCTCGACGAGACGCAGGGGACACAGGACGTGAAGCAGGCTCACGTCTCTCAGCTAGACCTCCAGTCGGACCAGTGTACGGAGTAGGCACAGGGAGTGGGGAGGCAGTCGGTAACTGTGGCTGTGACTGGACAGACGGAGGACACTCTAAGGCGAGAGGAGGACACTGACTAAGAACCTGCTGAAGGAGCGGAACGAAGTACGGCCGTGGCCGTGCAGCAACTTTCGAACCAGCAGAAGCTCCAGCGGCAGGGTCCTCAGCACCAGCAGAAGCTCCACCCTCCGGGTCCTCCACTCCAGCAGCAGCAGCAGCACCTCCAGCAGCAGCACCACCAGCAGCAGCAGCACCTCCACCACCAGGGTCCTCAGTACGAGCAGCACCTCCAGCAGCACTGCCAGCAGCAGCAACACCTCCAGCACCAGGGTCCGCAGCACCCGCAGCAGCGTCAACTCCGGGGACCCCAGCACCAGCAGCTCCACTCCGGAGACTGATGTGCCGAGCGTACCACTCTCGAAGCTATGGGGAAGAGGGCGGCTCCCGCCGTGGTGGGGAAACACGAGTACCAACTCCAGTAGCCCCACGAGCCCGAGACGCACCCCGCCGGAGGCTGCAGTACCGTGAGTACCACTCACGGAGCTGCTGCGAAGAGGGAGGTCCTCTAGGCGCCTCACAGTCAACTGCAACACAACCAGGCTCAGTACCCCCAGACTCAGCAACGCCAGGCTCATTACCCTCAGACCCAGCACCCCCAGGCTCAGCACCCCCAGTCTCAGTACCTCCAGACTCAGCACCCCCAGTCTCAACACCCCCAGGCTCAGCACCCCCAGGCTCCGCCCGCTCAGGCTCCGCACGCTCAGGCTCCGCACGCTCAGTCTCAGCACCTCTAGCAGGACGCGAGTCGACAGGTACCTCGGCAGGCTCAACCGGGTCTACCTGAGAGACACCTGAGGGAGCGGCACCCTGAGGGGGGAGGGGGTCTACCACTGCAGCACCTGGCGCGAGGAAGAGAGGCGGGGGAGGGAGCGGGGCAGTGCGGTAGGGGAAGAGGCGGTAGAAGGGCACGGACTCGTCAAAAGTGACGTCCTGAGAGGGGAAGACGCGGTGCGAGGCGGGGTGGTAAAACTGCCAGCCAGACGCATCCGGGGCAAAGCCAAGAAAGACACAGGGAGCAGTGCGGGAGGAGAGCTTGTCCGCAGACGTGTTGCGAACAAAAGCTCGGGATCCCCAGACACGGAAGCGTGACGCATCGCCAACCTCCCCCGTCCACAGCAGAATGGGGTTGCTGAGCGCCGCATTGGCTTGGTCATGGAGGTCGCTCATAACATGTCAGAATCGGAAACGAGAATGAATGACTAGAATGAGTGTTGGGTACAAATAGGTCAAACCTAACCCTAGAAATGTGTACCCACTATAGGCTAACCCACTGTAGCCTAAACAAGCACATCATACAATGTTTGACAGGGCGTGTCGGGGAGGGCGCCAAGGACGGGACGGACGGAACGGACGAGACCGTGTCGACGTTCGCGACCGTTGCAGCCGTCGTAACTACGGCCGCGACGGGAGGCGTGACGAGCGCCATGAGTGGGGAGATACGTGGTGGGCCCATGGGAAAAAAAATCAGGTCTTAGGACGACCTAGCTCTTAATACCATGTTAGAATTAGGAGCATAGTAGCTTAGGTTTGAACTAGGTGAGGGTGACGAGAGGAAAAAGCAAGCCAAAAGAGGGCTTCACTAATGAGAATAGCAAGTAAAAATAGGTAAACAGCAACACAAGGAGGTGCACCACCAAACACGATGCAATATCTACACTACAACTGCAAACGATTATATAAAATATGTAAGCATATTTTGACAGGAGGCTTGCCTCCCGTGTCTCAGTGATTGATTGGTGTCAACCAACATTCCGATGATATACCTGGCAACACGCAAATGAGCCGCCCGAAAACTGGGATGTCGAAACCTACTGGCCAACTGGACAGGTTTGCGAGACGTTGACGATTGGTTTTAGGGTAAGTAGCTTTGGCAGGGCTTGGACTAGCGACCCTGCGCTTTGAAGGGGACTACAGTGCCAGTAGCAGGCACTTTCCACCCCTCCGTGCCTCAGACAGGAAAGTTATAGAAACAAGAGAGGGCACTTCCCCACATTCACCCACGTGGCACCAATTCCCATGCCACTTACTGTACTGGACATTCTGACCAACTGTGCGCAACATACTTTTGTCCCTTCTTAATCAAAACCTATCTGACCGCGGGCACAAAATATAAACCCCAATCGGACTGCATGCCATTCGGGAGCCTCAACCCTAAAATTTTAGGGTTGATGCCTCCCGAATTGCATGCCTTCCATGTGGGGTTTATTGTTTTTACTTGCCCGCTGACTCATTGCACTGCCTGCTGACGCAAGCATGTGTTCCGAAAATTTGGGCGCGAAACAGTGGACTTCCGAAATTTTGGGCGCGAAACAGTAGACTATCATATTTCGGAACAAGGTGGCAGCCTAGCCACCCGAATGTGGATTCGATTTTGAAATTGTGACACGTGGGTGAATGTGGGGAAGTGCCCTCTCTTGTTTCTATAACTTCCCTGTCTGAGGCACGGAGGGGTGGAAAGTGCCTTCTACTTGCACTGTAGTCCCCCTCAAAGCGCAGGGTCGCTAGTCCAAGCCCTGCCAAAGCTACTTACCCTTGGTTTTACCCCTCCAGTTGTCAACGACTGGCTTTCGGTTGGAAAACCAGAAACCCAAGTTTCGCGATGAAAGTGTGGGATATCCCAGGAGGTGCGGGTGGAAAACGAGGACTGGAAATGCCTACAGCGTTTGATGCCGGTGCCGGTTTCATCAGCTTGGAGCAGATGCCGGCCGGAGATGGCGCTGCAGGAGAGCGCCGAGAGCAGCACTGCAGGCAGAAAACGAAGCTGAGGCTCTAGATTATTGTAAGAAATTTTTCGAGAATGAAGCTTCTTGCTGACCGTTCCCGCGCTTTTTTCGAGCGGAATCGCGAAAATCTCGAGGAGAATCGCAGCGCGAAGGAGAAAATTCGGCAGCATGAACTTCCTGCGGAACGAAAGAGACCAGCACGGTGCTGTCAGGGTATGGTGAGAGAGGCAGACACTCACCAGCGAGGACGATTACGGGTCGTAGCGCGTGCGGGCCATGGCTATCTTGGGAGGTCAGGTACTACTGGTATGTGCAGGTGGTATGTGCAGGTGCAGGTCAGGTACTACTGGTATGCACACGCACATGTGCAGGTGGAGCCAGGTTGTCTTCTCAGAAAGGTGTATGGATGCTCGGACGGAATGCAACGAATGGGATTTGTTGCTGAGGAAGACATTTCGTGCTCTATTGCGAGGAGAGTTATATACTCCATACAAGATTCATCTTCGTGTTGGGAACGAGGAGCCCATGCGACAAGTTGCCATGTGTGTGTGCGTGACTCATGCCAGGAGTAGTTGGAGCGCGGCTCGACATTGCTCGATTGCTAGCCTGGCAACTTCGCAGAGTGCTACTCGCTGCTGCTTCTCTTCTTGATTGTCCAAATTCCAGCTAGGCACAGACCGCGCATTTGACTCAGCCGTATTTTACTCAGGTGTTCCCATCTTGACGACCTGATAACTCACTAAACTCTCTCCAACCGCTGTAGACGTTTATTGAATCGTTTTGAAGAGTGTAGTATCCTACTGCATTACTCTGTGACAGAATATTTGGTACCTCAAAAAGCACCTGAGTATTTACCAGTCTGCCACTTGCCGCATCTCGCGTAAATCAATTTGAAGGTTACGCGCTGGGGGGACATGTGGCTGTAAAAACCCGTTCATAGTTGGACCGTTTGCAGTTGTAAGGCTGTAAAAGATATTGCGTGGGAAATAACGATTTTAGCAAAGGAGCTCCTTTGCATTCGTTTGTAGCACCGCAAGATTTCAAGGTAAGGTAGTCATAGTAATCACACATGGCATCCTTGACGGACAGGGTTTCGTCGTGCTTGGAAAGGCAGGGCCAAATTTGAGGTCTGTTCGGCACACCAAACGTTCTCCTAAGTACCATACCGTATGTGATTTTTTGGAGGCTACTGGATTATTGTACACTCGTTTGATCACCAACAAATGCTTCAGTGGCAGTGCCATGCAACCTAAGGAAGCTACAGTGAAACAGAAATGTTGAGGGACAAAACAAGTGACTCCTCCTGTTCAAGAATGTCACTTTGGAGTTCCTGAGGGTGGCTGCAGTGCTGTAGCTGCATCCATGTATGAAGATGCAAATATGGTGGACCTGTTCCTTTGGAGGTACCTGCCAGGTCGAGAAAGGGAAAGATGTGTTACACGACAACAGAGGCCCGCACACTGTATAACGCTAACGCCACAAACGTGGGTACAGGGAACCTGGCAGATATCAGAACACTCGGGCAACGAAAGGGAGAGGTGAAAAAACGAGCTGCGAACATAATTAACAAGTGCTTCGCGAAACAGGCATAAGAACAACCAACAGCAGGGTTAGTGAAAGCGCACTGACTTGAAAATGATGTTGAAGTTCTGGAACAGCTGGTGCAAACCTCCTGCTCAAATTAAAGAGGTGATTTTTGAGGCGCCTAAAAAATCTCCTCAATGCACGCGGGTAGTGAAAGTGCACTCACTTGAGGATGATGTTGAAGTTCTGGAAGAGCTGGTGTAGGGCCTCCTGCTCAAAGTAGACCGTGGCCAGCATTGCCGGCAGCTTGGCTGTGGCGGTGGTGGTGACACAACAAAGAACAGGGACAGATGGAGGGATTGGTTGGTTGGTTTAGAGGGTGTTCAAGGGTGCAGAGCTGGTGCAGGGCCTCCTGCTCGGAGAACACCGTTGCCAGCATTGCCGGCACTAAGTTGGATATTAGGCTTACGTTTACGTACGTCTTACGTTTACGTTTACGTACGTTTTACGTTACGTACAAGGGTCCAGAATGAGTTTACGTTTCCAGGCAGATTAGTTTATTTTCAGCTGCCCGGGTCATTAAAATTTCCCTGGGGTTCGAAGTTGACATTAACATTATCTATGATAATGTTGTGGTTCAAGCTACGAAATTACTATCTCCAGCCATAAATTTTGTTGCCGACCATAATTTGTATCGGCGCGTCACGGTGCACAAAATCGTTTCGGGCTTTCCCTCCAGTTTCAGAATTGCGAGTCAACGTCCCCCCCCCCCCCCCCCCTCCCCCCAGTGTCATCACTTCGACCTCCCCACCTGTCCTTATGTTCCAGCCCCGTGACTTACACGGGGCTCTGAAGGTTACGCTCGATGCTAGAGCTATAGATCCACGACCTAATCCTCTCACATCTTCTACGTAGATCTCCGTTCTAGATCCTCTAACCTAGATCCTAGAGTTCTTAAGTACGACCTAAGTGAAGATCTAAAAGTTGGTGCTGCGAATTTAAATAGCGAGGTAGATAGTCACTAAATATAGCATAACGGTTATGAAAGAACCGTCAATCCTAAATATGGCATTTCGTACGCAGCTGTATGTGCTGCCCTGAGCGGTTGTGCCGCAATGGTGCTCTCTTCTCCAGGGCCAATTTACAGAACACTTTTTTTTTTGGCCGGATTTTTTTTCCTGCCCGGACATAAGTTACGCGTATTTACGCGTACGTAAACGTAAACGTAATGTTACGCGTAACATTACGTTTACGTAGGTCCAGGGACGTACGGACCCATCTTAGTGCCGGCAGCTTGGCTGGTGGCGGTGATGGTGGTGGTGATGGTGGTGGTGATGGTGGTGGTGACGGTGATGGTGGTGGTGGTGGTGATGGTGATGGTGATGGTGATGGTGATGGTGGTGGTGGTGGTGATGGTGATGGTGATGATGATGGTGATGGTGATGGGACCAGCAAACACAGGAGTAGATGGAGGGGTTGATTGGTTTGAGAGGGGGCGTGCTGACGAGATTCCAAGTGACAAGACAGTGTGCACAATGGGTAGGATCTGGCATTACTCCAACCACACACGATACGAGACAGTGACTTTTGAGTCGACTCAAAAGGATCTGGTACTATTCCACACACCAACAATACGAGACGGTGTGCTTTACTCTCTGATCAGACGACCAGACAAGCAGCTTTTGAGTCGCCTCAAAACAGGTACTTACTGCTCAATCCACCAGAAAAGGCGCTGACAAAACAGAAACGCGCAAACATACAGAGACACGACACACATTCCCGCCCTCCCTGGTCCCCGTTCACCCCCCTCCATGAAGAGCCTGAGCAGCAAGCCAAGCCTTACTGAAGAGCCTGAGTAGGTGCTCCGCCCCGTATATATCCGACGGCCGTACAGTCGACGGCGCTGCCGCATCCGACACTCCCCCACCCCCTCCTCCTCCTCCTCTCGCCCCGTCTCCACCTCCCCCTCCCGCCGTCCCCTCTCCTCCTCCACTCCCTCCACCCCCTCCCGCTCCCCCTCCTCCTGCGGCTGCAGCAGCACCAGAAGCGGAGGCAGCGGCGGCAGTGAGGCGGGCAAAGACGCATTGGAACTGCTCGCGCTCCTCCTTGTACAGCAGCATGAGCGGCAGCGAGCGGTCAAAGTAGCACCGGATGCCGTTCACCACCTCCGCCATGCCCTTGCCACGCCTGGGGGGAGAGTGGGGGAGGGCATCGGGGGGGGGGGACCGGGGGAGGGAACGGGGGAGAGCGGAGGGGAGGGATTGGAAGGAAAGCAGGGGAGTTGGTGTCAACGGGACAGGTGATGATGGCAGCACAAGCAGCAGCGAGCGGTCAAAGTAGCATTGGAAGCCGTTCACCACCTCTGCCATGCCCTTGCCGCGCCTGGGGGGGGTTGGGGGAAGTGGGGAAGGAGTAGAGGGGGAAACGGGGGGGGGGGGAGGGGGGGGGGGCGTAGGGGCGAAGGAGAAGGGGTGGGTATGAGATGAGGGAACCAAGCCGTGAAAGGAGAAGTGATTGGCGTTGACTCTCAACATGCGTTGACTCGAAACAGGAGAAAGAGGAGGTACGGGAGATGAGGGCATGAAGCCCTGAAAGGAGAAGTGATTGTGAGGTGGGGAACGCCAGGAAAGGAAGAAAGGAGGATACTGAAACTGGAGAGAAGGAAGAGGAGAGGAGCAACAGCAGTGGCAAAAGTGACTGTTCCTTGTGCTTGGAGCTGGTGAATTTGCTTGGAGATGGAAAATTTGCTTGGAACTGGTAAATTTGCAACAGCACACAGAGGACCAAACATATACGTAGAGAGTCACAAGGAGGGGGAGACGGGGAGAAAGGGGGGGAGGGCGGGTGGGGGTGAAGGGGGAAGGCAGAGGGAAAATCTGCCAGGAGCTCTTGAGAATTTTCAGAAGCCACTAAGGTTGGTTCGATACATTTCCGTTGACTCAGAAGGAGGGGAGACAGGAAGAGGCGCGGGGCGGGAAGCATCTGGAGGGACTGACTGCCTGACTGACTGACCGCTTTCTGCGCTTGGAGCTGATGAAATCCGCTAGGAGCTCCGCCACAGAGGTTGGTTCCCGACATTTGGGTTGACTCAGAAGGAGGCGGAGACAGGAAGCGGAGGGGGGCGGGAAGTGGCACTGACCGCTTGCTGCGCTTGGAGCTGATGAAGTCCGCTAGGAGCTCCGCCACAGAGGGCCTGCAGGGCAGTGGCACGAGCTGTGAGGGGAGGGATGAGGAGGAGAGGCGGTGAGGAAAGGGCAAAAGTTTGAATCGAGTGATAGAAGTTTGCAAGGAGATCTGCTGCGGAGGGCCTGCAGGGCAGTGGTATGCGCTGTGGGGCATGGGATGAGGGGGTATGGCGGTGAGGAAAGGGGAGGAATGAGGTGGGAGGGAATGGGCATGTGGGTGGGTTAAAGTGGGGGACTAGAGTCAGCAGCTGCTGATGATTTACTAGAAGAAGCACAGACCAAAAGCCAAAAGCCAAAAAAAAAAAAAAAAAAAAAAAAAAAAAAAAAAACGCACACACACCAGGGCTAATTTCTGGTTTTGAGCAACCCTTATGATCAGTGCTGCACCTAAGCAAAAACCTGATTATCAGTGTGACCCGGTAGGAAATTTCTTTTGCATCAGGGTTCAGGCTAGGTTTGAAAATTTTACCCTGAGGCATCAGTGTAAGACTTGTAAAAACCCTGCTCAGTTATTGTTACAATGAGTTTAGTCCGAGTTGAGTCCTTGGCGTTGTGTAGTGCGAAACTGTATTTCTGGCCAATAGTGGCAAACTTCGTGCCAACACATGTACGCAAATTCAGGTTTTGACAGTTGGCCAATGGGAATCCCGAGTTACGGGAAAGTGGGGGGAGGTCCGGGGGGGGGGGGGGGGGGGGTGGGTGGTACGGTACTAGCTTCAGGGTAAAACTCGCTAAGAAGAACGGTTACCCTGGTGCATCAGTGTGCCTTAAACGTATACCCTGGCTGATCAGGAAAATCACAGCTCCAAAAAAAATTACCCTGAGGCATCAGTGTGACTACCAAAAACCACCCTGATAATCAGGGTATCAGGGTGATTTACACTGATAAAAATTGGCCTGACACACACACACAGAGGAAAAAAATATGTCTAGGGCAACACTACAAACAGGCAAGAAGAGCGCGGAGACAGACAGACAGGCAAGAAGTGCGCAAGAGAGTGGGCAGTAAGAGGAGCATCCTAGACTGACCTTCCTCTGGCGCACCACCAGGTCCTCGTCCTCTAGTAGCTGCCTCTCGAGCACATTGGAAATGAACAAACAGCTGAGTTTCAAGTCGTCTTCAGTAGCATTTCAGTTATGACTGACTCACCTTCCTCTGGCGCACCACCAGATCCTCGTCTTCTAATAGCTGCCTCTTGAGCGCATTCGGGATGAACAATGCCAGATCCACATCGCACACCCCGCCCTTCTCTGCCCCACCACTTCCCCCCACTCCTCCCCCTCCCCCCCCGCCTCTGCCTCCTCCCTCTCCCCCTCCTCCCCCGCCTCCGCTATTCCCCCCAGCACCACCACTCCTGCCCCCAGAACCGGCTCCTGCAGTTCCCCCTCTCCCTCCCCTCCCCCGCTCGCTTCCCCTTTTCCCCCGGTTCCCCCCTCCCCGCCTCCGCCCTCTTTCCCCCCCACGCCCCTCCTCCACCTCCTCTTCCTCCTCCTCTTCCTCTTCTTCCTCCTCACTGCTTCTACCGCTCTGCCCCGCACTCTCTCCCTCCGCCTCCTCCTCCTCCTCCTCCTCCTCCTCCTCCTCCTCCTCCTCCTCCTCCTCCTCCTCCTCCTCCTCCTCCTCCTCCTCCTCCTCCTCCTCCTCCTCCTCCTCCTCCTCCTCCTCCTCCTCCTCCTCCTCCTCCTCACCTCCTTTCCTCCCTTCCGCCTCCTCTTCCCCTCCTGCTCGCCCTGCTCCTCTTCTCCTCCCTCTACCAGCGCCCCCAGCACCAGCACCCCGACCAGAAGCAGCAGGAGGGCTTGTAGCGGCAGCAGCAATAGCAGCAGCGGCAGAAGAGCCAGCAGCTTTGGCACCAGCTGAACCAGGGGTGGTCTGCATGTGGGGGCCAGAAGGGGGGAGGAACGGGGGAGAAAAGGGGGCGAAGAGGGGAAGAAAGGGGGGAGAAAGGGGGGAGAGAGAAGGGGGAAGGAGGGGAGAAAAAGGGACCAAAAAAAGGGGAGAAAAGGGGGAGATGGAAGTCAGCAGAAGAGAACGGGCACAACGATAAGGTAGGTAGGCAGGGTTCTTTGACTACAAGCTAGTCCTTTGAATGAGAATTCTCAAAAACGGGCACAAGGATAAGGTAGGTAGGTAGGGTTCTTTGACTACAATGTGATGAGCCGGTTCTTTGTACCCTACAATGTGATAAGCTAGAAAGACGGTTCCCATTCCCAAGAAAAGTGGGCTGGTGATTATAGCCGCAGGAGAGTGAGGCGGAACTAGGGGAGGGAACAAAGGGAGGGAGGAGGAGGTGAAAGAGGAGAGAGGAGGAGGAGAGAAGAGGCGCCAGGGAGAAAGAGAAACGTACATCTGGTGCCTTTCTCTTGCGCCCCTTGCCTCCTGACCCGTGCACATCTGGGGAATATGGGGCAGATGGGGCAGATGGGGCAGATGGGGCAGATGGGGCAGATGGGCAGATGGGGCAGATGGGGCAGATGGGGCAGATGGGGCAGATGGGGCAGATGGGCAGATGGGGCAGATGGATGGAGCAGATGGGCAGATGGGGCAGATGGGGCAGATGGGGCAGATGGGCAGATGGGGCAGATGGGCAGATGGGGCAGATGGGGCAGATGGGGCAGATGGGGCAGATGGGCAGATGGGGCAGATGGGGCAGATGGGGCAGATGGGGCAGATGGGGCAGATGGGGCAGATGGGTAGAGGGTGGGTGTGGGTCGAATGGAGAGATGTTTGAAGACGTCTCAAAACACTTTGTTTATCACGGGAGCAGGCACGGCGCGGTGCAGGTCGTATGGAGTGATACACTGAGAGATGGAAGGAACCAGGCAGCGCTTTCAAGTTGCTGAGTTGAGTCAGATAAAAACGATTTCCGGGATCAAAGAATTTGTCACAAGGGTCCGTGCACAAAGGAAAAAACATGCAAGAGACATGCAAGAGACATGCAAAAGACATACTAGAGACATACTAGAGACATACTAGAGACATACTAGAGACATACTAGAGACATACTAGAGACATACTAGAGACATGGATTTCCTTATTCCCTTGTCTCCTCTTCCCACCTGATTATTCCCCTCCTCTTCCTTCCCCTCCCCACCCCTCCCCTCTCCTCCCTCCCCAACCAATCTCCTCCCCTCCACTCCCCTCCCCTTACTCCTTCCTCCCTCCCTCGTCCTCCATACCTCGTCCTCCCTCCCTCGCCCTCCCTCCCTCCCTCCCTCCTCAGCACCCACCTGGCGAGGTGACCTTGCCACGAGCAGGCGCCTTGTCCTTCCGGCCGCCCCCCTGAGCCTCCTGCTTCAGCTGCTGCTTGCGCCGCTGATTCTCCTCCGTGTCCTTGAGCAACCGCACCGTGCCCACCCACTCGTCCCAACTGCCACAGTCAACACACGTGCACAGCACACACAGAATTGGCTTTTGAGTTGACTTGGAAATCTGCTGCTTGTGGCGCTGATTCTCCTCAGTGCCCCTGAGCAAGCGCAACGTTCCCACCCATTCGTCAAAACTGCCGCCCGAACCAGACACACAAACGTGCACAACAACAGAGAGAGAGAGAGAGAGAGAGAGAGAGAGAGAGAGAGAGAGAGAGAGAGAGAGAGAGAGAGAGAGAGAGAGAAGGCCTTAGCATCCAGCCCTCTCCCTCTTCCCTCTGCCCTCTCCCTCTGGTCCTATTTAAGGGGCCCTCCGTGCCTTCCCTACCTCATTATTTCGTTGGTGTTTCACATTCGGCGGCTCGCGCCGGCGCAAGCGCGGCCTTCGGCCGCGCGTTAAGGGTGGCAAGACACAAGACGCGAGTTCGGCATATAAAGGGCATACAAACACACAAGGCAAGGGGGTAGGCAAGAGCAAGAGGCGCGGCATGCAACTCTACACGCGGCGGAGGCCTACATCGTGTACGGCTCCGCCCCCTCCACCTCAAGCATCGAGCGCATGCACGCCGATACTGCAAGAAGGAGATGCGTCGACGACTGGAGCGTGTCCAAAGGGGTCCCGGCCTGAGCAGCCCCTACAAGATCCCCCACGTGGCGGGGGAAAGTACGGGCTAAGGGAGCTACCCCGGCGGGCGCATCCGACATGGGTGCCAACGGCGACTCGAGCGATTCTGCCAAAGTCACGCACGATCCTCGGGATCCTGAACCGAAACTGCTCGGAAGGCTCCGTGTGGCCCCACACACCGCCAGCTGCAAGTTCGCCACCACCTCGCACGCCTCCGCTAGATTCAGAATCCGGCACATGGTCAGCATGGGGTCTCTCCCCGCACGAATGGGGGGAGGTGCAGTCGGCGCTTCGCGCAGATACGCCGTCGGCCAGCCTGGAGTTCGGCCAACAGATAAGCGAGGCGCAGAGAAGCCGGGGACCTGACGGGGGGTGCGGAACTGAGCCCTCCCCTCTCGCACGGGCCGATATTCGCTCAGCGTCGGCGCGCGCAGAGGAGCAACCTGGCCTGGGTCCGCGGCGAAGGGGGGACCGTTGGTCACCTCTATATGGACGTGAGTCGGCCCCCCACTCGCTTGGGCCTGCCGCACCACCTCCACAAACGTGTCTGCGGCGTGATCGAGGGCAGGATCCTGCTGGCGACCATTACCGCCACGACCTCCGCCATTCCGCCGGCCTCGCCGGCCGCCAGAACCTGCCGAGTGAGGACGCGGGGGGGACTGCTCGCGACGCCCCGAATCCCAGCGACGTCCAGGCGACCCCCTCCCCCTCGTCGCCAGAGATCGCCGCGGAGACCGTTGCGTGGGGGATCGCGCTCGGGGTGAGCGCTGGCCTGCCCGACCACGAGGAGACGGGTGGCGAGGAGAACGAGGACGCCCAGGGGATCGCCGATCGCCCCCACCCCACGGATGAGCCTCGCGATGCTCAGGAGATGGGCGCCAAGGAGAGGGCTGCCGCGGAGGCTGACGCAGAGGCGGGCGCCCGCGCTCCTGCCGCGGCTGATCGTCCGGGCGGTTCGATGCAACACGCGCAGGGGCCCACAAATACTCCGGCGAGGTGGGGCGCGGGGCAGGCCGTTGGGGAAGAGTCAGCACCCGGTCGAAGCGGCGGACGGGCTCGCTTGCGGAGGGGTGCGCAGGGACACGCGGGCGAAGACCGCCAGGCGCAGGTTCTGACAACGCGCTCTCCGCGGATCCCTCGAGCTCCGGATCCCGTCTCGCGGATGGATCCATCACCCCCGACCGCACCGCAGCCGACGCCAGCGCGCCGACAGAACGAGGACGAGGTGGACGTGGCGCCACAGGCAGGGCGCGTGGGAGCCGCGGAAGGGAGAGGAACACGGGGTATCCGCGTGGGACGCGGCAGCAGCCGCCGCGGACGACGAGGGAATGGGAGAGGACGAAGAGGTGGAGGAGCGCGCGGCACAAATCGGCGCCGCACCGGCGCAAGCGGTTACGCGAGAACTGCTGAAAGGCTAATACGCGAAGGCGTGGAAGGCGGCGAGGAGGAGCACAGCGAGGAGGCGGAGGACGAAGCTGAGAATGAAGAAAGCGAAGGGGGTGACCCTGTTTTTAACCCAGAAAGAGAGGGGATGTTGGAAGCAGAAGCCGAGGACGAGGAAGAATTGGAGATGCTACTTCGGGAAGCGGAGTTTCCAAACCATCAGGCTCGGGACGAACCTGCAATTCGAACCACAGGTCGAAATCGAACCGGGGGGGGGAAATCGTGCAAGGGGGGGAAATCGAGCCGCGACAGAAGACGGAATTGACTCTGCAGCAGCCAATGATAATTCTGCAGGCCCCTCCCCAACCCCACCAACGCTCAAACCTGACGACCTAGCGAAAAATACCGACCTTTTCGCTCAGGTTGCAGACTGGAACCTTGACCCGCTGCGCGACAGTCGCCAACCTCCTCTCGCTCGACACCCCCCCAAAGACCTTCGCGACTCCTTCGCGATCTGCATGTTGACTCCGTTACTCCACCTGGCGGCCAATCGTGAGTCTCCACCAGGATGGAACTTACTGACTTTTCTCCCGCGCTTACTCCTCCGCACCTCGTCAGCCCGCAAACCTGACTGGAGCGCGATGATGAATCGGCTCCAGCGATTTCGCCAAGGCCTCTGGGGGGACCTGTACGACGAAGCTGTCCAAGCGATCTCACTGCCACCACAACCTCGCCACTCACCTGACACAACGGGGATACTGGCACGGGCAGAAGGACTCGCAAAACGGGGTAACCTGTCAAAATCACTCCAATCCCTCCAGGCCACTCCTGTGGCTCCCGCCTCACCTGAAGTGTTGGAAGCCCTCACGACGAGACACCCATCCGCCTGCCAACCACTTCCTGTCTGGCTCCGCACCGCCACAGCGGAAGACCCACCCACTATCGAAGCTCGCGACTTCAGACGCCTCCTCGCCAAACTCCCCAACGGAGTAGGGGCCGGCCCATCTGGAACAACCTTCGAGCACATCCGCGACGCAGCCCTGGGCAACGCCGAAGTACTCACCCACCTCCTCGCCTTCACTAACACAGCTCTAGCAGGAAAACTCCCCACAGTCGCTGGGGATCTCCTAATGGCATCCCGCCTGTTAGCATTTACGAAACCACAGGGAGGGACGCGGCCGATTGCGGTGGGGGAATGCCTCCTCCGGATAATAGCAAAAGCCGCGCTCTTCCTCACTGCGCCGGCCGCTCGTACCCACTTTGCTCTGCTTCAGTTCAGAGTCGCAGTAGCGGGAAGGATCGAAGCGGCTATCCACTCCGCTCGCACGTACCTGGAAGTGCACCCAGGGGCAGTGGCGCTGCAGATTGACCTCGCGAATGCGTTCAACGCGGTCGACAGGAGGGCGGTGTTTGAAGGACTGAAAAACGAGGCGCTGAAGGAACTTATTTCCCTCGTCCGCCTTTCCTATGGGACTCCCTCCTCGCTCTTCCTCGACCACGACTTCGGCGCAGCCCCGCTGCAGAGCGCCAGGGGTGTTCGCCAAGGAGACACGCTCGGCCCACTCCTGTTCGCGGCTAGCATCCACCCGTGCCTCGTGGACACGGCGGCTGCACACCCTCAGGTGGTCCTGCTGGCGTACGCCGATGATATCACGCTGCTCGGCGACGCCACGGCCTGCTCTGCGGCTTTCGACCACCTCACCTCTGCTTTAGCCGCCCTCGGCCTGGTGCACAATCCGGCTAAGTGCGCGGCGTGGTCCGCCGCAGCAATCGACGCCTCCTCAGTCCCCCCAGGCGTCACTATCTCTGAGGAGGGTTTGCAGATTCTCGGCAGCCCCGTGGGCACGGCCCGAGGCTGCGCAGATGCTGTGAGAGCGAGATTGGAAGCAGCAGCAGCGCCTCTCCCCCTGCTGGCCCAGATGGACCCCCAACTTGCCCTCCTCCTCCTCACCCGCTGTGTCAGCCGCCGAGCTTCCTTCCTGGCCAGAAGCACCCCCCTAGAGGCCCTCCCTGAAGCCGAATGGTCCGCTTGGGGGGAACAACTCCTTCACACCTTCCTAGACTCGGCCCACATCATGAGGCCGAGGAGCGCCAGGGAGAGACGGAGGATTTGGCGGCAGGCGGCCCTGCCAGTGACTTTGGGAGGCCTGGGCATCACTGACCCCGCCGTTGAAGGCAACTATGCCTACCTCGCCTCAGTGATCAGCACAGCCCACCTCTTGCACTCCCTGGAGGACTCGTTGCACCCCGCTGTCGCCGCGCTCCTCCCCCTTTTGGACCCAACCCACGGCTCCCCACACGCGCTACCTGCACGCCTCGCCGCGGCTGAGGCAGCCCTGCCCCCCGAGGCTCTCGAGGTGCTCCAGGCCGGGAAGGCTGACCCCAAGGGACTGAAGCTGCAGCAGAACCTAGCACTGGCGGTTCACACCCGCCGCTTCCTGAGAGTCATGCACGAGGCAAGGAGGATGCGCCCCAACCCCCGCTCTGGCCATGCGCAACGGATGCAGTCGGTGCTGGGCCCAGGCGTGGGGGATTGGCTGCTGGCGATCCCGCTCATCCCCTCGCTCCGGAAGGGCCCGTCCCAGCTCTCAACTGCAGCTGCCTTCCGCCTAGGCCTCCCCCTCCCAGCGCCTAGACGTTGTGACTGCCGCTACCGCACCACCTTCCCCGACGACCGCCTCCCCAACCACCTCATGCGCTGCGAGAAGGGGAAAGGGAGGACCGCAACCCACCACGCTCTGCGGGATGAGATAGCGAACATTGGGGCGGAGGCGGGGTTTACGGTTCACAAGGAGACGTATGTCTACTCACTGGTTGAATACCTAAAGGCGGATGTCACCATCCGTCATCCCCTGACTGGTGAGGTTTGGATGTGCGATGTGACCGTGACGGACCCGGTGTCAAGGCAGGACGAGAACTGCAACCGAGCTCCTGGATGGGCGGCCAGGGCGGCAGCAGAGAAAAAGGAGGATAAGTACGCACGGCGGAACGCGTGGGTGGGGTTTCACGCGCTTGCAGTGGAAACTTATGGCTACCCCTCGCCGGGGGTGATGGCTTACCTGCGGCAGTGCGCAGAGCTGGCGGCAAAGCTGCGGTTTAACGCGGCTCCTACCTCCTACGAAGCAGCGAAGCTGCTGACGGAGTACCGCCAGCGCTGGAGCGTGTGCCTCCAGCGGGCGCAGGCCAACGCCCTCCGCACCAAGACCAACGAGGCCTTGGCGGCGGACGAGCTCGGCTTTAGAGGACCCACCATCCCTCTCAGTGAGGGACAGCTGCACCAGTTGATTGAGGCCCCGTTCGACCAGTAGGGTCGGACAGAGGGGGGGGGGGCTGAGTAGGTAGGAGACTTGAGGTAGTTCGGATCTCGGTTTGGATGTTTGTTGTGCTTGTGTGTTCTGGATCTTCCTTTGTACCACCCCTCATAGTAATGCAAGGACCATTCGAGAGAGAGAGAGCACACACATGAGCATGCACCCATGCGCAGAACACACATGACCATGTGCACACACACACACCCATGTGCAAGCGGAGACGCATGCATGTAACCACGCACGCGAACGCACGCACGCACGCACAGCACACATGCAGAGCACCACACGCACACACAAACACACACATGCACACAAGTAAGAGAGGAGGGAAAACGGAGCGGGAAGGGGCAACGAAAACTAAAAACAGTGGGGTAGAGAGCAGGGGAGGGCAGCATGAAGCAAGGGAGATGAAAAAAACCGTTCTTGCCAGGGGTTGATGCTATTCAGCAAAACCGTTCATCAGAAGTTCATCATGAAGCCATTCAGTACAACAAGGGAGAAAACGCGTTAGCAAGAGAGTTGATGCCCATTCAGTACAGCATAATAGGCGAAGGAATGCTTCCTGGCAGATAGGCCGGTTGACTTTTGAGTCGACTCAAAAGTCAGCGCGTTAGCAAGTGAGTTGTTGCCCGTTCAGTACAGTATAACAGGCGAAGGAATGCTTCCTGGCAGTTAGGCCGACCGGGCTTTGGATAGGCAGAGTTGCCTATTCAATACAAGTGATCGGCAACGAGGGCACAGATTCAGTGCACAGCGGCGCATGGCGTAGGGGGGTAAGTTGAGGGAGGTGAGGAAGTTGAGGGAGGTGAGGAAAGTTGAGGGAGGTGAGGAAGTTGAGGGAGGTGAGGAAGTTGAGGGAGGTGAGGAAGTTGAGGGAGGTAGGAAAGTTGAGGGAGGTAGGAAAGTTGAGGGAGGTAGGAAAGTTGAGGGAGGTAGGAAAGTTGAGGGAGGTAGGAAAGGTGAGGGAGGTAGGAAAGTTGAGGGAGGTAGGAAAGTTGAGGGAGGTGAGGAAGTTGAGGGAGGTGAGGAAGTTGAGGGAGGTGAGGAAGTTGAGGGAGGTGAGGAAGTTGAGGGAGGTAGGAAAGTTGAGGGAGGTAGGAAAGTTGAGGGAGGTAGGAAAGTTGAGGGAGGTAGGAAAGTTGAGGGAGGTAGGAAAGTTGAGGGAGGTAGGAAAGTTGAGGGAGGTAGGAAAGTTGAGGGAGGTAGGAAAGTTGAGGGGGGGTACAGAGTGAGAGAAGAGGGGAGGAGAGTGAGCGAGAAAAGAAGGGAGTGAAAGCTGGGTGCGAGGGAGCAGTGGTGAAATGTCACCTTTTCTTCCACCCCTGTTGCAATCAGAACAGTAGGAGCAGTGTAGCAGTCGCAGCAGGGCAGATGAGTCGCAGGAGACCAGGGTGTAACACACACGCATGCGCAGCAGCGCGACAGCAGGGGCCAGATGGCGGGTGGAGAATGGCAAGGAGAATACATGTGAGGCACAGGGGAGAGGCACCGGCAGGGAGGGGGGGGGGGATGGATAGATGGGTGGGTGGGTGGGTGGGCTGGGGGGAAAGAGTGGGAGGGAGAGCGTTGAAGAATCAAGGGGCGGGATGAGAGATGGTGTGGGTGAAGTGAGGGAAGTAGGAGTTTCAATCAAACACGGTGTTGCGTTGCAAGCATGCAGACCATGTATAACGAGAGAGAATGACAGAAAGGGAGAGGGAAAGTTGCATGTATGTGTACCTATGGCCGATATAATGCAAGAGGAAAGTTTGAAAGGGAAGGGGGGCATCATACTGTGGATAAAGAAAGCGTTTTGAGACGTCTCAAAACTGGTACGACAGGGAAGGGGGGGCATCATCATACAGTGTAGTGGATAAAGAAAGACCAGTCGCCGTTTTCGTCCTTTTCCAGCTTCAACACCTGCCGTTGTGCCACCAGCAACCCACAGAGGCACGGCCGGGAAAAAGGGAGAGGGGGGAAAAGAAAGAGAGGGGTGGCGGTTGCACGAAAGACCAGTAGCCGTTTTCGTCCTTTTCCAGCTTCAACACCTGCCGTGGTGCCACCAGCAACCCACAGAGGCACGGCCGGGAAAAAGGGAGAGGGGGGAAAAGAAAGAGAGGGGTGGCGGTTGCACGAAAGACCAGTCGCCGCTTTCGTCCTTTTCCAGCTTCAACACCTGCTGTGGTGCCAACCGTACCACCAACCGTGCCACGCATGGGCGGGACGAATGGGAAGGGAAGGGAGAGGGAAGGGGTGGAGGGAGGCAGGAGGGAGGCGGGGGACGGATGGGAGGGGGGAGGGAACGGGGGGGGAGAGTGAGGAGAGTATGTTTTTTTTATATAAATCAACGGGCACCGGGATGAGTAGGCATACGGAAGTAAATTGAGTTGACAAACAAGCCAGTTTGAGCCGTCTCATATGTCATTTTGAGTCGACTCACAGGTCCTTTTGCCCCCATCACGCACCTTAGCCTCGTACAGCAGCTTCCCATGAAACGCCAGCACTTTCTCGTCCTTGTCGTATGGTGGGCTCCCTGCCCCTCCTCCTGCCCCTCCTCCTGCCCCTCCTCCTGCCCCTCCTCCTCGCCTCTCCTCTGTTTCTTGCTTCTCCCCTCTTCCACCCTCCTCTTTCCTCCTTCTCCCCCTCTCCTGGCCCCTCCCTTGGCCTTTCTCGTGTCCTTCTCTCGCCCACCCTCTCTCCTTCTCCTTCTCCGCCTCATCCTCACTCTCTGCCTTCGCCCTCTCTCTCCCTCTCCTCTCCCTCCTCTTCCCGTCTCTCTCCCTCTCCCTCTCCCTCTCCCTCTCCCTCTCCCTCTCCCTCTCCCTCTCCTTCTCCCTCTCCCTCTCCCTCTCCTTCTCTCCCTCCTCCTTACCCCTCTCCTCGCTTCCACTTCCTCTCTCGCGCTCTCGCCCTCGTTCCCTCGCGTTCTCCCGCCTCCCCTCCGGAAACTGTTCCCCTTCCGTGCTACCTTCCGCCTCCCTATCCATATCTACCTCCCTTACGTCATCCCTACCATTCCCACCATCCTCACCATCCCCACCATCGTCACCACCCCTGTCATCCCTGCTATCTCCCTTATCCTTCTCTCGACGTCGTCCCCTCCCGTGCTCGCGCTCTTGATCCCTCTCCTTCCCTTTCTCATTCCCCTCGCCATCGCTTTCGCTTTCTCCTCGCTCCTTCTCCTTCTCCTCTCTCTCCTTCTCCTTCTCCTTCTCCTTCTCCTTCTCCTTCTCCTTCTCCTTCTCCTTCTCCTTCTCCTTCTCCTTCTCCTTCTCCTTCTCCTTCTCCTTCTCCTTCTCCCAATCCCGATCGCGATCCCTACCCCTATCCCGATCCCTCTCCCGCTCCCGATCTCGATCTCGGTCCCTTTCCCGATCCCTGTCCTTGTCTCTCTCGCGCTCCCGATCCCGGCCTTTCTCCCTCTCTCTCTCCTTCACTCGCTCCCTCTCCTTCTCCCCGCGGCCCCGCCGTCGCCGGCCCTCGTTTGCGTCCGCAGGTTTCCCGACACTCTCTTCTTTACCTGCCATACCCCGCACCCTCAGTACGCCGGAACCTTCGCCGGAACCTCCGCCGGAATATCCGCCGAACTGTCCGCCTCAACCTCGGAATCGCAATTTCCAGAATAGTAAGCGTACTTCGGCGAACAAACCTTAACCGACCTGGACTCCTCGGTTATATCCAACCAGACCCTAATCCGCAACAACAAGAAATGCTCGCAAGAAAATATAACCTCGCAAGTCCTGGCTCGCTGGAGTGCAAAAGACGTCCAGAGAAATGAAGCTCTGCTGACGAGATTGACGTGAGAAACTGGAGAGCCTAAGCAGTGAACGCATGGAATACCAGTGCTCGACACCAAGAAAGCAATCGGTGGATATTTTTGTTCTGGTTTTTCACAACACCAGCAGCTGTTATGAGTTGAACCAATAACGAGACTATGATTGAACGAACTGAGAATACAATGAGTGGGCACACTAATGTAGGGCTAGCCTAGCTGGGAGGAAACCTCGGGCACGCGAGGTTGGGTGCAGGTTTGGCGATGGAAATGCCGAAGGCGACGCGAGGAGCCTCGGCAGCGTTGAAATCGCCTAGCTGGGAGGAAACCTCGGGCATGTGAGGTTGGGTGCAGGTTTGGCGATGGAAATGCCGAAGGCGACGCGAGGAGCCTCGGCAGCGTTGAAATCGGCCGAACGTGCGAACTCCGAAAATCGGGTTGTACGCGAAGCAGTCAACCCCGATAAGGAATTCGGGAAAATTCCTTACACCACCCCTCCCCTTAAGAAAGGCGGTCAATATCCGAAACCCACTTGCGCGCCAGGTAAGGGCGTGTAACCATTTTGCATTTTGTGATTTTGACGTACCGTACCGTCCGATTATATGGAATCGGACGGTACGTTTATACCGAAACGGACTGTCCGATTTGAATGTTTGCTACTTTGGACGGTACGAATGCAGATGTGACACTTTTTCCACATGCTAGGGTTCCGCGATGGTTTTCCCTTCGCCATCTCAAATGTACACCAGTAACGCCAGTTACAACCCATCGCAATTTTCGCTGGTAGATTGTCAGAACATTATAGCCTACTTATTTGTGTAGGCTATAGTGGGATATCCCATAGGGGGTACAACCCAATTAGGGTTTCCTATTTGTACTCACTTCGTTCATAGTCATTTCATTCTCGTTCTCATTTTCACATGGAATCAGAGCAGGTCCCCTCCTAGGGACTGTTCCTTGGGCCCACCGAAGCGCGCCTCGAGGCGCGCGCTCATTTTTTTTAGCGTCCCGTCGGATCGCACCTAGCGCCTCGTCGCGCCGCCCTTACGGTCGCGTCGAGCCGCCTTAGCGGCTGCGGCGCGCCGCCCTTCTCCCGGCCCGTCGCCGCCCTTACATGCGGCTTCGCGCTGCCCTTACCGCCGGCTTCGCGCCGCCCTTACCTGCGGCTTCACGCCGCCCCAGGCCCGTCGCCGCCCTTCCCCCGGCTTCGTGCCGCCCTTACCTGCGGCCTCACGCCACCCCGGCCAGTCGCCGCCCTTACCTGAGGCCCCACGCCGCCCTTACCTGCCGCTTCGCGCCGCCCCGGCCCGTCGCCGCCCTTACCTGCGGCTCCACGCCGCCCTTACCTGCGGCTTCGCGCCGCCCCAGGCCCGTCGCCGCCCTTGCCTGCGGCTCCACGCCGCCCTTACCTGCGGCTTTGCGCCGCCCCAGGCCCGTCGCCGCCCTTATCTGCGGCTTCGCGCCGCCACTCCCTGCGGCCCACCTGTCGCCCTACCTGCGGCTCACGCAACCGCCCCTACCGCTCGCCGCCGACCCCGGCCGCACGCTGCAGCCCCGCCTGCACGCCGCCGTCCCGACTACAAGCCGCCACCTCGGCCCCACGCAGCCCTTACGCCGCTGTGACACCCAGCCGCCCGAGCCGCCTGTGCCGCTGAGGAGCCGAGCCGCCCGAATCGCCCGAGCCGCTGAGTACCCGAGCCGCCCGAGCCGCCCGAGCCACCCGAGCCGCTGAGTACCCGAGCCGCCCGAGCCGCCCGAGCCGCCCGAGCCGCTGAGTACCCGAGCCACCCGAGCCGCCCGCGCTGCCCGAGCCGCCCGAGCCGCCCGAGCCGCCTGGGACATCTGAGGAGCCGAGGCGCTGGTCCACCGGAGCTGCTGTTGCTGCTGGGCCGGCCGAGTGGCAGTGTTGCCGTGTTGCTGTGCCCCTGAGCTGCCCGACCCGCCCTGTCTGGTGAGATCGTCGACTGCTGTCATGGCTACCCCTAGTGTCCTAGCTTTTGACGCTGAGGGTCGCGCCATTGACTTTGAGGTCTGGGTAGACGACCTGCAGCTGTTCCTACAGTGCGATAGGGCAGACGGTCTTTCTCTCTTTGACCTCACTTCTGGCGCCGTCCCTGCCCCTGCTGCTGATGCTGACCCCACTGTTCGGTCCCTGTGGGCCACACACGACGGTGCTGCACGTCTTGCTGTGCGTCGCCACCTGCCTACCGCTGAACGCGCGCACTTTAGTCAGTACAAGAGTGCTCAGGCCTTGTACGACGCTGTATTCGCGCGCTACTCCTCCCCTGCCACTGCTGCACTGAGCCGCCTCATGCTCCCCTTCCTCTTCCCTGACCTTGCCGCCTTTCCCACTGTTGCAGATCTCATTACGCACCTCCGCACTAGTGACACCCGCTACCGCGCTGCGCTTCCCGCTGACTTCTGCGCCAAGAACCCCCCCCCCCCAATGTACATCACTCTCTACTTTCTGGTCACCCGTCTCCCTGACTCCCTTCGTGTAGTCCGGGACCACTTCCTAGCGGTCTGTCCCACCACCCTCACAGTCGACAGCCTAGAGAAGGCCCTCCTAGCGGCGGAAAAGAGTATCGTCGCTGTCGGAGCCTCTCGAGGTGACCCCCGCGCCCCCATCTTTAAGGGGTGTTCTCCTTCCCCTCTCTTGCCCTCTGTCGCCTCTGCCGCTGCGGCCGACCTCGTTGGTCTTGAGTCGGTCGGTGCGGCGTCTGCCCCTAGCGGGAGACGCCACCCTGGCAAGGGCAAGGGGGGCAAGGGAGCGGGTGGGGCAGGCGGGGGCGGTGGAGGTGGAGGTGGAGGCGGCGGAGGGAGTGGGGGTGGCGGTGGAGGTGGTGGCGGGGATGGGGGTGCTAGTGGCGGCAGTGGAGGCGGGGGTGGCGGCGGCGGTGGCGGTGGGAGCGGAGGTGGCGGAGGCGGCGGCGGTGGAGGCGGAGGCGGGGGTGGCGGTGGCGGTGGCGGTGGTGGAGGTGGTCGGAGTGGCGCGTCGCAGCGGAGCAGCACTGGGGGTGGTCAGCGCCAGCAGCAGCAGCAGCAGCAGCAGCGTTCTCGCGACCTCCCCACCCCTCGGCAGCTCCGTGAGTGGTACACGCAGCGTCAGCGTGGTGGGGGTTTTGGTCCCTGCACCTACGTTCTTTGCACTGGCGACCGCGCTCGAGAGCAGTGTGGGGGTGCCCACACCGCCCAGCGCTGCTTTGGCCGCCTGACGGACGCTTGGCGCCAGCAGTTCCCGGAGGCCGCGGAGATCCCCCTCTGGGGAGAGCTGTCTAGGGCTGGTGTAGCTATCTTTGATCTTGACTTTGATGCTATCCTTGCTGCCATGTATGCTGTGAGTGTTAGTGACGAGGGTGACTGTTACCGGTGTTTCCCGCCCAACCCGGGCATTGGTACTGCTGCTCTAGGTGCCAGCGAGGCTTCTGCTCTAGGTGCCAGTGCGTCTGTGCCCTCAGGTACTGGTGAGGCTGCTCTCTCAGGTACTAGTGAGTCTGCGCTCTCAGGTACTGCGTCGGCTTCGGCCTCCCACACCTTCACCCTTGACTCTGGAGCGTCTCGCTCCTTCTTTCGGGACCGCACCACACTCACGCCGCTTAGTCGGCCGGTTGCGGTGTCCCTGGCTGACCCCTCTGGGGGTCCTGTCCTGTCTCGCTTCTCCACAGTCCTCCCGTGTCCAGCGGCTCCCTCTGGCACCCTGTCTGGTCTCTACCTCCCCTGGTTCTCTACGAACTTGGTGAGTGGTGCTGACCTACAGGATGCGGGAGTCCACCAGTTCACCCCTGCTCGTCAGCGAGTGACGCACTGCACAGAGGCTAGCACAGGTCGTCACCTGGCTACGTCTACACGTCAGCCAGGGTCGAGCCTGTACACACTGACCACTGCTTCTCCTCCAGTTCCTCAGTCTGGTGGGGTCCCTTCGTCAGGTCAGGTGTTTGCTGCAGCGTCCAGGTCTGGTCCTGAGTCTGCCCCCTGTTCGTGTCGTCGCCTGTCTCACGAGACTCTCCTCTGGCACCACTGCCTGGGTCACCCCTCTCTGCTTTGGCTCAGAGGCATGGCCTCCCGTCTTCTTGTGTCTGGTCTCCCCCGGTCCCTCCCTCCCCTTCCTCAGGGCCCTGGCCCTGCCTGTGTCCCCTGTGTCGAGGGGCGCCAGCGTCCTGCCCCTCACTCCTCCCAGTTTCCTCCGACAGAGGCTCCGTTGCAGACGCTTCACATGGACGTGTGGGGCCCTGCCCGCGTCCGTGGACTCGGTCACGAGCGCTACTTCCTGTTGGTGGTTGACGACTACTCGCGTTACACCGCAGTCTTCCCCTTGCGCAGCAAGGGTGATGTCACTGAGGTGCTGATCGACTGGATCCGCGCAGCTCGTCTCCAGCTCAGGCAGAGCTTTGGCTCGGACTTTCCTGTGTTGCGCCTGCACTCGGACAGAGGCGGAGAGTTCTCCTCTGGCCTTCTGCGTGCCTACTGTCGTGCGCGAGGCATCCGTCAGACCTTCACGCTTCCGGACTCACCGCAGCAAAATGGGATTGCAGAGCGCCGCATTGGCATGGTCATGGACGTCGCTCGTACGTCTATGATGCATGCGGCTGCCCCCCATTTTCTGTGGCCGTTTGCGGTCAGGTACGCGGCGCATCAGATCAACCTCCACCCCAGGGTCTCCAGGCCGGAGACCTCCCCAGCCCTGCTGTGGACGGGGAAGGTTGGCGATGCGTCGGCGTTCCGGGTCTGGGGATCTCGGGCGTTTGTCCGCGACTT